CACCAACTGGCGTGGAGCCACTTTGGCGTTGGCCTCACGTGGTACGACCTTTCCAACGTCGACTCGTTCTCGGTCAATCACGAAGGCCGCCGGTACAAGGACGCCTTCTTCCGACTCTGGGTGATGCTGTCAGGCGTCATGATGCACCTCGTTTGGCGTCACCGCAACGACTACAAGCACCGGACGATCTCGGTTCCTCCCAAACGTGCCCTCGTCGAGCTCTCGTTCATCCTGTGGATGACGACAGTCCGCCGCTGGCTACGCCTCCAAAACGCCGACGACCCCGACGCGACGGCCACCAAGGATGCTATCGCGATGCTCTTCCGACGTGCCCCGTATACCGCTCTCCAGGCCAAACATCCACGCTGCCTCGACCTCGACACTTCGTTCGATGTGCACTAGGTTTCGCGCAGGGTGCTGATGCCACCCGACGAGTCTGTACGGTCTTGAGTGATAAGGTGAACATAATGGAAAGGAAAAAAGTAATGATCGCCCACCGTGGGGCTCGAACCCACGACCACAAGGTTAAGAGCCTTGCGCTCTACCGACTGAGCTAGACGGGCTTCACTGACTATGTACCAACTACACCCACTCACACACACAACACTACAACTTCATCATCAATGTGTCTCATCAATACACACCACATTGCTCCTCATGTGTGCCTACACATTCACGTGCATATCGCGCCATTCACGGTCTAAAAGCCTTCTTTTATCGCCCACAAATCGATATTTACACTTTTTTTACCACAATCCTGACCAAAGAGCCACGCAAAATAGTCACAGCATTCTACCACATGACTATATTTATTGGGAAAGTCGTTTCCAAACTCGAGCTCCATTTATTTTGCATTTTACCGATTTTTTGGAAAAGCGCCTTGACCACGCCCACCGCGCCGAGAGAGCAAAGCGGCCGACATCGGTCCGAAAAAAAAATCTGCTGAAACTTGGCATATCGATAGAGGACAGTTTGGAGGTGAGAATGCGCCATTTCGAGTGGTCTTGTTCGGCTTTTTGGTGAAGATATGGCCGAACAAAAATGAGAAAAAGGAGGACTAAAAGAATGGTGTAATAAGAAGTGAAAAGATGGAGCTTGGCATTGGGAGTGATAAGGTGAACATAATGGAAAGGAAAAGTGCTGAAACTTGGCATATCGATAGAGGACAGTTTGGAGGTGAGAATGCGCCATTTCGAGTGGTCTTGTTCGGCTTTTTGGTGAAGATATGGCCGAACAAAAATGAGAAAAAGGAGGACTAAAAGAATGGTGTAATAAGAAGTGAAAAGATGGAGCTTGGCATTGGGAGTGATAAGGTGAACATAATGGAAAGGAAAAAAGTAATGATCGCCCACCGTGGGGCTCGAACCCACGACCACAAGGTTAAGAGCCTTGCGAGTGGTCTTGTTCGGCTTTTTGGTGAAGATATGGCCGGACAAAAAA